AATAGAGAAGGAACGAGGGGAATGGAATAGAGATAAAGAAAGGATGAAACTGGGAGGTGGAGGCAGGGCCGTCTCTACCATTTTTGCTGCCCCAAGCAAAAAAAAAAAAAAAAAAAAGCCGCCCGCACTGCCGAAAAAAAAAAAAAAAAGGCACCCAGACTGTGCCATCCCAAGAATGGATGGAATGCCGCCCTTTAGCATGTGCTGCCCCAGGCACATGCTTCCTCCGCTGGTGCCTGGAGCCGGCCCTGGGTGGAGGAAGACAAAGAGGGAGTGAGAGAATGAAATTGATAGCCAAGACTCAGTATTATGGTCACTACATTGTATTTAATTTACTCATGCAACTGGTTGGAGTTTTGATGTCTCCGCAATGGAAGGCTGGGGGAGAGGGATGATTGGGAGTCATGGGGCGGGGCGATAGGCAGGGTTCAGGAAATGGGGAGTGTGGTGTATTTGAGGAGTAGTGGCAGACTGAGCACAGTATGTTGGTTACAAGATGTTTTCTTTGGGTGTTCACACACTTAATTGTACTGCACACACACACACACACAAAATTAGCAAAGGCATCAATAAGTGGCTACACTAGCACTGTCCAGCCATAGTGAGGTTCTTTCCCACCCTCTCAGCCAGGGCCGGCTCCAGGCACCAGCCTGGCAAGCAGGTGCTTGGGGCGGCCACTCCGGAGAGGGGCGGCACGTCCAGCTATTCAGTGGCAATTCGGTGGACGGTCCCTCACTCCCGCTCGGAGCGAAGGACCTCCCGCCGAATTGCCGCCGCAGATCACGATCGCGGCTTTTTTGGGGGGGGGGAGGGGCTGCTTGGGGCGGCCCAAACCCTGGAGCCGGCCCTGCTCTCAGCATGACGACAGAAGCGGTATTGTAGCAGCTTTGCAAGGGTGATCAAACTTCATTCTGCACTGCAGTGAGAATAGCTTAGGGATGATTGGATGAACAGCCACAGCGCTGAGGGGGGATGGACCTTTTCCTTCTGCTGGATGGAAGGGTGAATGGACAAGCCACTTCAACCCACAAGTGAGCATTGTTAATGTGGATCCAATAATGGGAGCTGAGGATCTCTAGCTGCTGGTTTGTTTGTTGAGCAATTCATCTGGGACCATAGTCTCCAGGGAAATTAAGCTTGGTACTTGTCTGAACTCTCTCAACCCCTTGAATCCCTGAAGCAGCCTGGAGTGCAGAGAGGAAGTGGTGTCGGTGTTATACTAAAGGAGGGTTCTGGAGCTAATGAGAAAGTACCAGGCTACTCACTTCATAGTCACTTCGGGCCTGATTTTCACAAGTGCTGGGCACCTGCACATCTCACTGATGTCAGCTGGAGTGACACCTGGGTGCTCAGCTGCTCTGAAAGGCCATAGGATTTCCCCCCTCCCGCCCATCTTATTCTTTTGACTCGTTTCTTTGTGGGACAATGGTGTCATCTGGTGGCTGAATTGGGGAATTACATGTAATATATTAGAGGCGTCCAGCCCTTGGAGATAGCCAATGCTGCATCTTAACCCCTATAAAGAGAAAAGGTCCTGGAAGACAAAAACCCCAAATTAGGTCCTGCAATAGTGAGAAGAGGACAGTTTGTGACAAACTGCTATGCTCTGCTGCTCCTGATTCTTGCAGTACCTGAGTCACTGCACTTACTAAGGCTAAAAGGGTTTGTTTTGGAGTGCTGACAACAGCATCATGTGTGGTTAATGTTCACTCAGTACACTTCCAGAAAGGATGAGCTTGTTTTTAATTGTTTTTTTTTTCATAGATTCTAGGACTGGAAGGGACCTCGAGAGGTCATCGAGTCCAGTCCCCTGCCCGCATGGCAGGACCAAATACTGTCTAGACCATCCCTGATAGACATTTATCTAACCTACTCTTAAATATCTCCAGAGATGGAGATTCCACAACCTCCCTAGGCAATTTATTCCAGTGTTTAGCCACCCTGACAGTTAGGAACTTTTTCCTAATGTCCAACCTAGACCTCCCTTGCTGCAGTTTAAGCCCATTGCTTCTTGTTCTGTCCTCAGAGGCTAAGGTGAACAAGTTTTCTCCCTCCTCCTTATGACACCCTTGTTCCTTGTACATCTGTGCATTCAATAACTGAGAGGGGGACAAGAGAGGGGGGAGAAGCAACAAGATATGGAGACATCTCTCTCTATCTTGAATTGAGGGGGTGTGGCTATTTATTGCTTGAGTTTGCGGCCAGAGGGTATTGGATCCCGGGCTGTTGTCAGGCAATCACAAGCAACAGTTCCAGGAATGCTTTTTTCCACCAGTGCTTGGCCAGGAGACTGTGACAGTGTTGTTCAGATGTAACTCTTGCTACTATAATCCATGCCTTTGCCACCTCAGTGCTGGATTACTGCAATGTGCTGTACATAGAGCTACCTCTGAAGTCAATCTGGAAACTTAAACTGGAGTCTGCTTGTTGGTGGGAGAATATGACACCAGTGCTCCATGATCTCCATTTGCTGATTACTGCTCTCCACAGGGATTTAAATTGTTGGTCTTGACCTATAAAACTCAACTCCAAACAGGTTGGGACCTGCCTACTTGGGAGACAGCTTCTCTCTTTGTTTTATGCTGCCACGGGTGCTATTGGAGGGAATGTTTGAGCTGTAACCCCTTGATTTGAAAGAGTGGGGACCAGTGGTGGAGCATTCTTCAGAGAGGCTCTCTGTTTTGGAATCTACTCCTCCCTTAGTCCAAAATAAAGTGCTGATCATCATGGTACTTCTATTTCTCTGCTCTCATTTTGGGTGGAGGAGAGTGCTTGATAGAGGCTGATGGTTCTGTAAGAGGGAAGATTTGGGGGAACTGACTTTTGTTTTGTTGGAGATTGCTGGGTCTTAACTGCTGGTTACAATTTATTTTGTTTTAACTTGTGTATGGAAATTCATAGTTAAAACAAACAAAAACCTTAACCTGGTTCTGTAGTGGCACTGTGAAGAGAAAAAAAATGAAAAAACTCTGTCACCTCTAATCTGGGATGACAAATGCTAAAATGCCTTAATCATAATTGTACGGTTATTGCCTGATGTCAATACAGGGCACTTAACCTTCATTGGGTGCTTTCCCTGTGCATTTCTGTACATTAACATGTTTGAATTTCTTTTAAGTGTAACCTTAACTCTGCATTTCTTGGGTTGGTAATGCGTGGTTTTGGAGACAACTATAATGTAACTATAATTTGTTTTTTAACCATTGTTACTGCTCTGTACTCCTAACCTTAACTCTATTTTAGAGTCTTTGTTTTGAAATATAAAAGTACAGTAACTAGTATTACAACAAGAAAGTCACAATCATGCTGTTTCAATCAGAATTTCTTCCTTTATTAGGGCCTGAGGAGTAGCCTGAGGAATAATAAAAAGTACATGAACGTCTGCTACTCTAGACTTTGCAGAGTGTTTTATCATCAGACAGTTGAACATACATTCTGCAGCATTATCTTTTCCTGATGTGTAGGTCACTTTGTCAAATGTGCAGTTTCGGGAACCCGCTTACGATTCTAGGTGGCAGTTTAGAGATGGGTCTATTAAAAATTTCTCTGAAGATTTTTTGTCTGTAATGATTACAACATTTTGATTGAACAAATAACTTTTGACTTGGCAGTGATGCAGCCCTCCTCTCATTAAGGGACTGATCCTGCATGTATTAAAGACAATAGGAATTTGTTCATTGGGGCTGCTAAATCAGGACCTAATGCGCTGTCTGGTTCCTCTTAGCTCATCACTTAATACCTTGTGCATATGTTAGCAATTCTCCTCACCTGCTCTGTGTAGGAACAAGCCCTTGTGTAGTTCCAATAATTAGAAGAAAGAACAGGAGTACTTGTGGCACCTTAGAGACTAACAAATTTATTTGAGCATAAGCTTTCGTGGGTGGGCTGTAACCTACGAAAGCTTATGCTCAAATAAATTTGTTAGTCTCTAAGGTGCCACAAGTACTCCTGTTCTTTTTGCGGCTACAGACTAACACGGCTGCTACTCTGAAACCAATCATTAGAAGCTTGCGAGTAGCTTTCAATACACCCAGCCTGACACTGTTTTCTTAATAATCTTTGTAAGGGAAGTTTCTACTGCAGTGTTAACTATACCTCTGATTTTATTTTATTCCAAACACCATTGGCAACTCCAGCTCTCAACCAACAACCCCGCTAAGGAATCAGGGAGAGAGGCGCGACAGATCTGGCTGGGGATTTTTTAACACTAGTCTTTTCCCAGCACCACTTTGTTTAAAAAGCCCAACAATGATGAGAACATCCGTGAAACTGGGAGAGACAGGATAACACCGGCCTTCTTTCCCCCCTAACACCTCCTCCCTTTCCCCTGGGCCAACAACTCCACCTCCCCTCGTCCACTCCCTTCTTAAGGCCCCTCCTCTTTGCTCCGCCTCCTTAGGGACTCCGCCCCTTTGTCCCAATCTCTCCTCTCTTATTGGTGCTTCTCTCCTTTACCCCGCCTCCCCTCTTGGAGCTCCTCCTCTTCTCCTCCCCCGCCCTCGGATCTCCTCCCCTTCGCCCCACCTCCTGCCTTCCCCCCGCCCACTCTCCCTTAGTGCAGCGTGTCCAGTCAGATCGCGGGCTGCGTTGATTGACACCCCGTTGCCCAATGAGGCGTAGGGTGGGCGGAGTGACGTCCCGCCCTCGCCCCCGCCCCTCACGGCCAGCGCTCTGTAGGTGCCAGCCAGGCTAGTAACCGAGGGACCGGCGGGCTCCCTCCCCGCCCCGAGGTACCCCAGCGGCCGGATCTCTCCCGCGGGGCTGCGCTCCCGTGGCCGGTTCTCCTGGGCTTCTGAACCGCGCGCCGCCCCCACGGGCTGAGGGGCGCCGCGGCACCAGCCCCGCCCCGGTCAGGGCCTCCGGGCCGCGCCCCTCCGGCTCCCCCCTCCCCTCCTCTCCGCTCCCGGCCAGCGGCTCCCTGCGCCACACCCCTCCCCTTGCAGCGTCCCCCGCCGCCTCGCGGAGCGGGGGAATGGGCGGTCCTGGCCCTTAGCCCCCCCCAGCCGCGGCCGCTCCGAGCGTCTGGCTGGCCTCCGCCCGGTGCTAGGGGCGCTGGTGGGGTCCCCGCGGCTGTGAGTGCCGATCCCGTCCCCTTCCCCAGCAGCCATGTCCGGGGTGGTGCGGACCCTGAGCCGCTGCCTGCTGCCGGCCGAAGCCACCAGCCGTGGGGAGCCGCGGCGGGAGGGCAAGGAGCGGAGCCGGGACTCGGAGCGGGAGGCGCGGCGGCGGAGCCGGGAGATCGACGCGATGCTGGCCCGGGAGCGGCGCGCCGTGCGCCGCCTGGTCAAGATCCTGTTGCTGGGCGCCGGCGAGAGCGGCAAGTCCACTTTCCTCAAGCAGATGCGGATCATCCACGGCCGCGAGTTCGACCAGAAGGCGCTGCTGGAGTTCCGGGCCATCATCTACGAGAACATGGTCAAGGTAGGGGCGAGCCCCGGGCTGGGGCAGAGGGGGCGCTGGAGCCCGGGGCCGGGGGTTGACCCTGCCCCCAGAAAACGGGGCGCAACAGCAGCTGGAGTTCGGGCCGACCTGAGAACAGCCTTCAAGGGGGTGGGGACAAGGTTGGAGGGGACCCCATGCAGGACAAAGAGTTACTGGGCTGATGGCGTTCTGGGCCGCCATCGGGCAGCGGGCGCAGCCCTTTGGGGCTTTGGGGTACAGGGGTTCCGTGCCATGAATGAGGGTAGCCTATAGGTGAGTTGGAGTACAGGGCCTCCTGGGTTTCTGGATTATCATCCAAGAGGATGTTCTCAAAGAGCCCAGACACCCATGGAAGGGTTCTGGAGCGAATTCTAAGACCCAGAGGAGAAGGGGGTAATAGGTATGTTCTGGGAAACCATGATGAGAACACCCTCAGGGGAGTTGGGGACCCCCATATTTGGAAGAAGGCAGGTGAGGGAGATGAGGATCTCCACCATGAGGAGTGGGTGTTGAGGATCCTTTCCTAGAGGATGACCCTGAAGATGAGGGGGAGGTCCCCTAGATTACAGGAGTTCAAAGCTATAATTTGGGGAACACTTTTAAGCGAATAGGGGGAATCTTAACACCAAAGACTTGTGGAGATGTATCTAGGAGATTGCCTGTTGAGGACATTGAGTGTTAGCTTCAAGATTAAGAGCACCCCGATTGGAACACTGGGGGAGAGGTTGGGCCTTCAGTCAATGCTTACATCTTTATTATGGAGACCCCAGTGCTCTGGGGCTCATGGCATGATGACTTCCTGGTGAGAGGATAGAATGGTTGCTGGAGTTCAGGGCCATCATGTAGAAGATCGTCCTCAAGGTGTAGAGAGCTTGGGGAAATTGACTGCCCACATCTTCTGCCTGGGGGTCTTAGGTGCTCTGCATAATAACCAGGTGGTGGTCATCTTTTAGAACAGGGGTTCTCAACCTTTTTCTTTCTGAGGCCCCCCCCAATATGTTATAAAAATTTCCTGGCCCAGCTGTGCCACAACTGTTTTCTGCATATAAAAGCCTGGGCTGGTGTTAGGGGTATCAAGGAGGGCAATTGCTTGGGGGCCCCACAGCATAGGGGGCAACACAAAACTAAGCTGCTCAGGCTTCGGCTTCAGCCCTAGGTGGAAGGGTTCGGGGCCCCGGGCTGCAGTCCCACATGGCGGGACTTCAGCTTTCTGCCCTGGGCCCTAGCGAATCTAATGTCAGCCCTGTTGGTGGACCCCCCTGAAACCTGCTTGTGGCCACCCCAGGGGGTCCCAGATTCCTGGTAGAGAACCACAGTTTTAGAACAATCCTACAGGTGCATAAAAACTGGTCACCAAGGGAATACAAGGAGCCCTTGTGCACAGAAAAATAGATACATGGTGTGTAAAAGGGCTATTTCTTATATTGTCCATACAAATGCAGGGCTACCAAGAGGGCTTGTTCCCCTCTGAGGAAGGGTCCCTGCCTACTTTTTTTTTTTTTTTTAAATGTATCTGTATAGGACTTTCCTCACTTCTGCATGGACCCATACTTGTGAGGAAACTTGTAGTTGCTGTGGGATTTCCTGCAAAAATCAAGGAAGGGGCCTATGCACCATCTGAGATAAGGAAAATTGCTTCCACATCTTAAGATGTGCTTCGAAAGATAACCTTTTTATAACAAAAAGAACAGGAGTACTTGTGGCACCTTAGGGCAGGTCTACACTTACTTCCTGGTCCGGCCGTAAGCAATCGATCTTCTGGGATCGATTTATCGTGTCTTGTCTAGATGCGATAAATCGATCCCGGAATTGCTCGCCGTTGACGCCGGTACTCCAGCTCGGCGAGAGGAGTACGCGGCATCGACGGGGGAGCCTGCCTGCCGCGTCTGGACCCGCGGTAAGTTCGAACTAAGGTACTTCGAATTCAGCTACGTTACTAACGTAGCTGAATTTGCGTACCTTAGTTCGAAGTGGGGGGTTAGTGTGGACCAGGCTTTTGAGACTAACAAATTTAGTCTCTAAGGTGCCACAAGTACTCCTGTTCTTTTTGCGGATACAGACTAACACGGCTGCTACTCTGAAACCTTTTTATAACAGCGCTCTCTTTAAGCACAAGTCGAAGAAGTGACTCTTGCAGTCAAGATCTCCTTCAGAAGCTTCCCCGTCCATCCAAACTGAATGGGAAGACCATTCGTCACTTAATTCCGCTACCTGAATTGCTTTTAAGAAGCATGAGGCAAGTCACTGAAAATGGGTGGTAGGAAGGGGAGGAAAAAAGGAGTTCCCTGTGGTAGCAAGTGCCATGGGTTGGCTTTATACTCCACTGCAGGAGGAAGAAGTGGGCACATATAATGCACAAGGAGAGCTCAGGCCACAAAATCCATAGCTTGACAATTTACTTCTCTCTTTCTTCCTCTGGGGAAGAGGGAGGGAAGAGAAGAGTATCACTAGGTTTGAAGTATACCCAAAAGTGAGTAGTGTGAATCTTGGATTAGTGTGTTTATTTTGGTGCTACCTTAAACTGAGTTAAAATGATGGTAAAGAGCAGTGGAATGTGTGAGGGTAGGAAAAGTGGGACAGAACTCTCCTAGACAAGTGGACAGCATCTGTCTGAGTTCTTAGTGGTCGCAGTTGTACTCTCGCCTTTCAATATAGTTCATTCTTTCACCATGGATGTTGGGGAGCTGCCTGTAATTTCAACCTGGGTTTAATAGGTGGAGTCGAAATACAGTATCGTGGAACAAACTTATTTTCAGTTGGCTAATATGTTCAAACCTAAGTTCCCTCTAACTACACGGCCTCGCAGCTGCCTATTTAAGCCCTCTGCAGTGGCTCATGGCTGCGGCGGGGAGAGGTGCCCTTCCTGGCCGGCCCCAGTTCAGACCTCCTGTGGTGGGGAGAGGCGCCCCTCCCTCAGCCCCAAGCTGCTGCAGTGAGAGAGGACTGGGGACTCCCCCCAATCCTCTCTCCCCACCGCAGCCTGGGGGCAGCCTGCACCCCAAACCACTCATCTCTGGCCCCACCCTAGAAGATGAGGTCTCTTTCCACACTACTCGTCAGCATTATCAAAGAGCAGTTCTGTTAAAGCTTCTAGAGTTTTGGGATCTTTGCTAGAAATGTAGTGTAAATATCTTGGATTAAATGGTCACCTTTTATACCCCAATATGATTAAATTTCTCTCTAATAGAAAATAGATTATGCCCTCCTGATGGTTTGCATTGCATTCTTTCTAATGTGCCTCTTGAAGTAGTACTTGGTCATTTTATATGGATTAAATAAAATGGCATGAGTTGGTGCAGATAGTTTGTCATATTGACTCTGATGTCATCTGGTTTGTTTCCTTTATTACTAAATCTCCCACTTCTTCCTTTCTGATCCACAGCCTCTTAATTTTCCTGTATCTTGTTGCAAATTAATTATGAATGCATGGTTCTTAGCCTTCTCCTCCTTGTGGGGAGGTCATGGTTTAAAAACAAAATGCTGAAATAAGTAAACCTGTGATCCAAAATTTACTTTTCCATATAGTACAGGTGATGGTTCAGAGCCTTGCTAGCTTTTTCTGGCATTGTGGGGCAATCTTCAAATACGTTAGTCTTGCTTTGGTTTAAAGTAAATAATCACTGGTTAACTAGGGTTTTGCTTGTTAATCAAGGCTAAGTTTCAAAGTAACATTGAAACTTTTTGATGATTGAAGTGAAAAGCAGTAGTGTTAATGTTCTGCTTTGAGTACACAGACTCCATTACTTCAGCACGCCCACCTGGAAGTGGAAAATGGATAGTACAGGGGTAACTGCTGTGGTGGTTTGTTTTTTTTTAAGCAGAATCTCAAATGTATGGAGAGACTGAGGAAGTCTTTGCATGTTGCAAGTTTCAGATCTGGTGAATGGCTGCGGCTATTCTGTAAAAATGTTTGTTGGAGTTCCCATCTGAGTGTCAAAGAACAAACTGAATAACTGCTCTTCAAACATAAAATAACTGCTCCCATTCTTGCTCCTTCTGACTACAATTAATGAAGGTTTAGGGACCTCTGGCTGTACTGTCACCTGGTGAGTCATAACTCTGATGTTCCTTGTGTACGTTTATTGTTATTTTCTATTTGTTTTTGACTTTTAAAATGGAGCACCACAAAAATGGAAATGAACCAGGCTTCACTGCATGAGAAAGCAATTAAAATTACCCACTAACACCGAAGCAATGCCTGTGCCAGCATGTGTGATTACTTCAAACAGAAATCTAACAGCTAAATTCAGCTTTTAAAAAAAGCATAAAGTGTAATCTGTGGAGCTTTTTCAAATTAGTGTCCATATTGAAATGGACTAAACCAATTAAAGCTGTAAGGAGCACTGAGTGATTTTTTTTCAGTCCAGAACCTGAATTATTTGAGAGTGACTGAAAAGTTCATATTTGAGTAGGAAGGGACTCCAGAGAAACTGTTGCTAGACACTCCAATCCATAACTTAAGTTGTGGACTTTGAATAGAAAAGTTCCAGGATGCTGTACAGATGTGCACTCATTATGGCTGCACAAGTGAAAAGGTTTGTACTTGATCAGAGGTTTGTCTGAAACAGACACAAATTTTATGAGGCAATAGAAAGGGTGAAGTTGGAGAATACCATTGAATTCAGTTGTAAATTGCACTTATGTGAGCAAGCTGATTGTTCTCCTTGACACACTTAGCTCTTTATAATACATGCAGAAAAATCATAACCCTTATATTAGTTTGAGAATCCAGGGAGAAATGTCATCTCATTACTGGGAATTCCACAAGCTGCTGTATAAGTTGGTCTTGATCCACAATGTTTTGGGTTTGCATATGCGTGAATTCAGAAACCTGTGAGGGATTTGCAATACTTGACCTTCAATAGTCTTTCACTGTAGAGGTAAAATATTCTGGGTATTGATTCATGATTAGTGGTTTTTTGATTTGCAGTAGGTATGATTGATTCTTCATTAGTCTGTCACAGGACAATATCATTTTCTTCTCGATCATAGCAGCTGCA